AAGAGGGAAGTTGATGCTGATGTAGGTGTGGAGCAGTGGAGGGTAGGTAAAGAGGTTGATTGGTCATTTTCTTAGATTTTCCCCTCTTCTCTCAAGGGTTGTTTATTAAAGGGGTTGTGGTGGGTAATAATGTAAGGAATAATATACTTGAGGATCAAAGTTACTACCTCACAAACATAAGAACATTAGTTGTAGAAATACAGAAGCAAACAGATGGCAGAGAGAATGCGATGTGGAGCGATGAGAGAAAGAAAACACAGAAATATGAGGAAGAGAGAAGTTGATTCTGATGTAGGTTTGGAGCCATGGAGGGTTTGTAAAGAGGTGGATTGGCCATTTTCCCTTTTTCTATGTTTGGAAAATGTGAAGAAAATTTTAGGTCAACACTATAAGCAAAATAAGAAGAAAATTATGGAATAGGACTAATTAGTATGAATAAGTAATCATTCTGAACCTTTTATCACCAATCTAGTATTCTACTGTTGCCCAAAACTTTATCTAGATGTGCATATTTTCAGTTTTTCACAAACCTGTTTCCATGACAGTAGATTACACAGGGAAGTGGCTTTCCTTCAAGATATATGATAGGCATGTAATGGCTACATTTAAGGGTATCACCCCTAATGTTTTTAACCTGCACCATGACAACAGCAATTCAACTAAAAGGCAAGTGAAAGAACTAGGCAACAGATTTCTTTGCAAAAAATAAAGAACATCAGGCAAAACATAAATAAATATGTACGTATGGATGAATGTGTGTGAGTACTCATTATGTATATGTATATTAATGTGTGTCTATATATATATATATATATATATATATATATATATATCATTCAGCTATTGCTATTTATGTTGTGTTCCTAAGGGATGAAGGATGAGCCCGCTGGCTGTGTGCAGAGATCAGTGAAAAGAGAGGAGAAAGTGTTCAGTTGTATTATGGAGTTTCCTTCTCTGTTATTGCCTTCGTTATTCAATACTTGTGATATTTATTAATGAGACGAGACCAAAGCTCTTACTTGTGATGTTTTATAGTAAGAATAATAACAAAGAAAAGTAAATCTGCTCCACGAAAGGAAACAAATAAATTTTCGGCCCAAAAAGAGTTCCATAATTTGCTGTTTGTTTGCCCGTTGTCCTTTTCCTCAAACGTCGCTTGTATACCTTTCCAATGAACACATCAATTTACTAAGAAAATCAAATTAATGGGAAAATTTGCAAGTGTTGATCCCCTATCAGAGGTCAATAATTTATCGGGATCTAAACAGTTACACACAGAGTAGACGAAACATGTGCCGGTCAAATGATGAGAATTTATTGACCAATGCTCCTTCCGTCCTATAAAATTCTTGATACTTTGGATTACGAGGTTTGACTAAAGTAATTTTTAATTCAATTTATTTCAAAATTGAAGTATGAAAAAGATAAAATTTATATATTCAAAAACTAGATCAAAATATCTATAGAACAAGAGGTGACATGATTATATTATTTTGTCAAATGATCAATGAAAATAGGTTTTAAAAAAATAAGTTGAGCCTGAAATAGTAAGTCCAAAGAACTTTTTGGGACCAAGAGCCTCTATCCTTTTTTTAGGAAGAGATTACGTTTAACGCCATTGATAATAAAGTATGCACAACAACAACAACAACCCAGTTGGATCCAATGATAGTAGCGTCTAGGGAGGGTATGTGTACGCAGACCTTGCGCCTCTACTCGAAAGTAGAGACGTTGTTTCCAAGAGACCCCCGCCCCAGCTCACGGTTTTCACTATAGAGTATGCACTATTCTTAAAAAATGTTTATACAAAGCTCATGGTTTCAATGGCGTTTGAGGCGATAAGGCTTAAAGGCGGCGGGTTTAAGCCCTAAAGGCTTAGCCTCACGTAGGTACTTCGAGGCTTATGCCCTAGGTGGATGAGGCGTATGAGGCACAAGGCTTAAATGAGGCTTAAGCCTCATACTTTTATCATGATTTTATGGAATTCTTAAAAGCTATTGGGCCTTAATATTTATATTGGCTCAGAGTGGCATTAGCTTTAGTGTTTTGAAAATGCTATCTAACTGTAGCTTTTAGAGTTAATATTTTCAAAATTAATCAGCACCATTAAAAAATCATCCAAAATGCAAACCACAAAGGTTGTTTTCAAACAAAGCCTTTATTTACTTTGCTTCAATTGAGGCCTTTCTAGCAACCACAATGTAAAAAGTAAATAGTAGAAACCTTGGTTTATGTTGAGATAACCTAGAAGCCAATTAAAATAGGCATCACCCTCTTTTGTTTCTCAGTCTTCTCCTTCACTCAAGTTCAACGACAATTATAGTTGTTTTCATCTATAGTCTGCAACCAATCATCTTGTTTTCTTCATCTTTTTCTTTTAACACTTAGTTTCTCTAATCATTGTACCCCCCTCCCCACCACACCCTCCCTCTTTATGTAATCTCTTCTTTAATTGAAATTTTAGTTAGTAGTTCTTTATATGGGAGAATTATATTATCAGTCTATTACTTTTTCTTTTCTAATCTATTACTTATTTACTTATTGGAACTTGGCAACAATAGTTAGTGGCTTTTTAACATTCTCTGATTCTCTTTATTAAAATTNCCCCCCCCCCCCCCCCGCCTCCCCACCACACCCTCCCTCTTTATGTAATCTCTTCTTTAATTGAAATTTTAGTTTGTACTTGTTTATATGGGAGAATTATATTATCAGTCTATTACTTTTTCTTTTCTAGTCTATTACTAATTTTAGTTAGTGGCTTTTTAAAATTATATGATTCTCTTTATTAAATTTTCAATATATGTTTTTAAGATTATACGGAGTACTACTTATCATTTACTTATCTGATCTACCTATTAATTCTACTTACCTACTCTCTTGTTTCTATTGTTTGAGCTTGGGGTCTCTTCGGAACAGCCTATCGACTTCCTTAGTAGGGGTAAGGTCTGCATACACTCACCCTCAGCCCCTACTTCTATGAGATTCTGTTGAGTTGTTTGTTGTTTGTTGTTGTACCACATGATTATTTACCAATGCAGTAAGAGTACTACTCTATTCCACAGTATGCATTAAGCAATGTATTGAATCATTTTATTATGAGTTATATACATAAATAGTCCATGTGGTCTTCCATAAGTAGGTAAATAGTCCTTGTACATTTAAAAGTTGCAAAATAGTCCCCGTGGTAAATGAATTGACGCATAATTAGTCCTTTAAGAAAAAAGTGAAGCGCGAAGAAGTCATGTGTACTGTGCGAAAATGTGAAGCATGTAACAAAAAAAGAAGTTATTTTGATGAAACTGCTTACGTCTTCGTGGTTAAAGGCAAGGAATTATCTTAACTAGCTCTTATATCACATTATATTACTTTAGAATAAAGCTAGTTGAAAACCAGAATAATGTCGAGTTCACATATAACATTGTTCTCCGATTCAAGAATATCACTGTTAAAGATATGAAGAAGTCGTTGTGAAGGTTAAACCAAAAGATGGAAGATATTTTACTACGGTTCAAACTTACACATCACAAATACAACATTAGATTAGCTTTTTTTATTGTTACATGATTCACATCTTTGCTTAATACACGCTTGTGCACATTTCACAAATTCTCTGATAGAGGGACTGATTTTGCAATGGTTCTTTGACCACAAAAACTATTTTGCAACTTTTAGGAGTTAGAGGACTATTTACCCACTTATGAAAGACTACAAGGACTATTCATGCATACAATTCTTTTATTATTCTATGTAAATTAAATTGAGGTTTATGCCTCATCATGCCTAAAGGCTTACACCTCATGTCAAAGAGTCCCACCACCTTGAGGCCCAAATTTTCCTTTCAAAACATTATCAAAGGTCGTTAATGAAGACATCAGATAAAGATAATTGCAGTAAATTTTAACTGATTATGATTCCAAATATATCATGTTGTACCTCCAAATCTTTCCGTTGGAACCACTTCCCTTTTAGCATGAATTCTTCATCTAGCAAATCATTCTTTGGGTCATACTCAGCTCTGAATTTCAGCAAATATATTCATTAATATCGAATGTACTTTATCCGTGACAACAGAAAGAAAGAAAATAATGAAACCACTGATTTGTAATAGATGAGGAAACCATTATGGGAACGGTTGGAAGAAGACGATGAAGAAAAATAAAACTATGACAATAAAGAACTACTCCCCCTTGGCAGGGCAGGGTTCCTTCTCACCATTGGCAGAGTAGAGGGAATTTTGGCTCTTGGATCTGGTGGAAGAGACAATAATTAACTCTAGAATTGCATATATTAAATTATTAAATGAATTGAGACACTCTATGAGACTCTCCTTAACCACTGTGAGACTCTCCTTAAGCACTTTGACAGAAAAATTAAAGGATGGTTCCTCAAATATCTCCGCCCCATGGGTAGACTCATTTTGATAAAACATGTCCTCTCTACAATCCCCAGACATATCATGGCTGTCAGCAGAATCTCCAAGGGTGTAATCGTCACTCTAAATAGAAAGATGTCCAACTTCTACTGAGAGAACACAGAGAAAAAGGAACACCATTGGAAATCTTGGAGACACATCTGCCAACCAAAGGAGGCTGGTGGCCTGGGAATTAGAGATCTTGATTCTCTACACGAGGCATTTCTCACCAAACTCTGGTGGCAATTCTACTTTAGTGATGCACTGTGGGTGGACATTCTAAAATCCAGATACCCAAGAGGTCTGGAGGCTCCCCCCAACCCTATGACTCCCCTTTTTGGAAAAGGCTTTATCACATCAATGATGAGTTGTACCAACATGTTGAATCCTCCACACACATCAATGATCTTCTTTGTTCCAATGGGAGATTCTCTTTGAAAGCAGCATATACTTTGCTCTCAAACCCAGCCAATGAGATCATCACCTCTTCAAATCTATGATACCCCAAACAAATACCCATTGTCAGCCATTTCCTCTGGAAACTCCTCAACCAAAGCCTTAAGGAAGCTGAATATCTCCATGGCCTCTTGGTGCCCCTTTTGCAGGAACAGTGAAGGAACAACAATGCATGTCTTCTTTAACAGTGACCCTATCAATTTCATATGGTCATATTTTGCCTCCCACTTAGATATTGACCACAGAATTGGCTCCTCCATCCAAGCCACACTCCTCCACTGGTGGTTCAAATCATCCAATAATGATATTCAGGGCTATCTGCTTGCTATCGTCCCAGGAATAATGCTTTGGCAGATTTAGAAGGCTTACAATAATATGTTGTATGATAACGTGGACTTCAACTTCAACAGATTGATGAGACATATCACTAACAATGTTTTTCAATGAAGTAGCTCACACAAAAAGCTAAGTGAGCTACAACCATTGACTCTCTTAGTCTCTTATCTTTGCAGGTCTCGCCCCTAAATTCTCACAAAAATCTGCACACACTATTGGCAGATGGAAACCTCCAGAAATAGGATGGATCAAACTTAATGTTGATGCAGTTTCCACATCAGAACATGCAGCAGCAAGTGCAAAACTGAGAGACCACAAGGGGATACTTATAGGAGCAAAGTCCTTTCAAATACATACTTCAAATGTCTTTGCAGGAGAGCTACTTGCAGCACTTGAAGGAATTAACTGGGCTAAGACTCTCACCAATTACCCCCTCATCGTAGAGACAGACAACCTTAGCATTGTCAATGCTCTCCAAAGTAGCAGTCACCACAATGCAGATCCAAGACTTTTGCTGCTCAAGAACGCTTTGAATGAATTGAATGGCCAGATAAGTCACACTTATAGAGGAAGAAATACTCCAGCCCACAACCTAGCTAAATTTGCTATCTTTATTCTTCCTACAATACCTTTTATCATTATGGTTGCCTCCCTAAGCCTGTGCATGGGGCCATTAGATGTGATGTATCTGTTCCTTATTTGCAATTTTAATAGAAGTACTTGATTCCTTAAAAAAAATTGAGACCCTCTATTTATACTAGTCTCGAGAATTCTATCTATAACAATATTGATATTATGAATATTAACCAAATTAAGATACTACAACAGTACAACTACTGGTCATAGGTGATAGAATTTAAGATGGGATATGGACAACTGGATTGGATAATAAGAGACTTGAGCTAAACCACATTAAAAGATTGAATCCAATCGATTATTTAGTTTAACTCAAGAGCTTATAAACCGATTATTTTACTCTTGAACTTCCGATGTGGGATGCACTCTAACACTCCCCCTCAAGTGGTCAACCGGGTTATTTTGAATCTAACTGGTTGACCACTTGCAAATGAACTCCTATTCCCTTGATTTCTTTTTGAGCGCCAACACCTAAAGGACCACGAACCACTGGGTATGGACTTCCATACGAGCAATTGTGTTAAACGGGCCACAGGTCGTTGGGTACGTACACCATACAGAACTCCTGGGCTAAAGACTAATGGGGATAAGGCAGACTCATGCTTGAAGAGCCTACATAGGGAAGAGTTCTGCCCGTGATAGAAACCTAGAGAGACTTGATCTTGTGTAAACCTATATATTAAGCTTGCAATTGTATGTAATATTGATGAAGGTAAACCCCTATTTAGATTAACAATTGAATCTCAATCTCATTAGTTTTCCAAATTTCTATATGTTGAATTGATCTCTATATCCAGTATAAATCATATTCATCAATGGAACAACATAATTTAGATGCAAAGACACAAAGTTTGGAACTGTACTTTTTGGTAAGAGTAGGATAGAAAACAGCTCTAATACAAAAAGTTACTAGTGTGGTAGGGGATAAGGCAGACTCGCCCTTGATAGAGCCTATGTAGGGAAGAGTTTCGTCCTTGACAAAACCCTAGAGAGACTAGACCTTGTTAGCTTGGCGTATTATTATCAGTAACTAGTAATAGTCTTGTAATGCTATTAATACTTTATTTGAGTGAATATTTCTAACATCAATATTATGATATATTCTGATATATTAGTACTCACCATGATTATTGTGAGTACTATAAATAGGGATATATATGTGTGTGTCTGTGTGTGTATATATATACTCTTTATTATATATATATATATGTGTGTGTGTGTGTGTGTGTGTGTGTGTGTGTGTGTGTGTGTGTATGTATGTATGTGTATATATATATATATATATATAATGAAAATAGTTAGGGAGAACACATTCAAGTTATGCACGTAGTATAAAGCTAAAGAGGTCAACTTCATAAGGCACCATACTTTCAAAATCTACGGAATAGACCACAACAACAAGTTGCAATAGCTCAGGCATGCAATAACAATATAATGGCTATACGGATGATCAAACGTAAATGTGATATCAAGGTTTCCAACACAGAAAAAAATTTAAGCCTAATTCCCTACAAATAAGAGGGGTTTTAAACTCTTTGGTCCTTATGGTTGGAGAATGGAAAACCAAACTCTTCTAAATTATTAAATTATCCTAGTACAACATTTTTTTTCTAAAGATAACTTTACTTCTTCGCTGCTTTTAGATTAATAATATGTATTTGATGTATATGCTCCTATTAAAGAGCATCTCACTTTTCTCTTTATGTTCCTGTTTTCAAGGTTTATTTTCTGAAAATGCATGCTTGCAACTCACTTTCACTTTAATCCCTTTGTCCTGAAAACGAGATTCGTGTTATACAACTTATTTTTATGCCCACCAAAGAGTTACTTTTAAAGAAATGCAACATTTGCATTATGTTATATTTAATGTAATGTTTCTGAAAATATCCGTACAAGTTTATTAAGTTTAGTTGAAAAAACACATAAAATTAATAATATATGTAGGACTGATAATCTATACTCTCTATTCCACAAAAAGTTCCACCTTTTTTTAAGTTTGTCCCAAAAAGGGCTCCACATTCCTTTTGAGCAAATGATTATATGGTTATCATCATTTCTCACAAACACATCTTTATCTTTCTTAATAATCATGCCCGCTCAAATGTGGAGCCTTAATTCAGGATCCAGGGAATAAGATTTTTACCTTACCAAAATCAAACAATTGTAACTGAATGAAGCATAAATCATATTTTCCACGGAGGCAGTATCAAATAGTAAGAGATCCCTTATATTACATCAAATGTGCAAAGAAATGGACAAATGGTCACATACATTACAAAAAATGAATACTGATCTTGGTTTATTGGAAACACGAGTTCCAACATGATCTACCTAACTTCACATGTATTTGTCAAATGCAATATTGGACTAACTTCTTGCTCCTTACCAATGTTTAGGAAGTTGAGAGTAAACTAGGTTCCCATACAATATTGAAAAATAAAAAATGAAACTCGAAGCAATACTTAAAGAGTTTGCAAAAAATTACAGAACTCTCAATTACTGCATGAAAAAAAACATTTCCAACTCAAATCATTTCATCAGCATAAGATGAAACATAAGCTAACAAAGGATTCCAAAATGAATAGGGACCTCATGATAACCACGCACAATCTTAAACCCATAGATTTTGAAATGAAACTAAAAATTGAACTCCTAAAATTAATAAATCTAGCAGCCTATCACCAAGTATTTATTTCAAACGAATCCCAGAGCAATTCGACAACCTTACACCATAAACTGTACAAAAAAAATTAAATTTTAAGAAAAATGTTACGAGTTCAGATACAACAATACAATTTTCATATCAATACTGTGGCCCAGCTGTGTAGTGAAGAGGAAAAGAAAGGGAAGATTTATTTTAACCTGGGTGGTCTTATAACGAAATTCACAAGCTGTTCCATAATGATTCAATGAGCAATTGATGTTTTCATCGACATAATATTATATGCCCACTCCGTTTAAAGTATAAATATGGTTGTGTGTGTGTGTGTGTGTGTGTGTGAGAGAGAGAGAGAGAGAGAGAGAGAGAGAGGGGGGGGGGATACAAAATGGGAGAAGATAGTGTAGCAGAGAGCTATGGTCATAAGGATGATGCGTTCTCTCTTTGCTACGGATCTTTTTTTACAAGGCCCGACCCACCTAGGTACCCAATCCACGCACAAGCCCAATTCTTTGACCCAAAAAAAACTGATCGGGATTCTTTCCTTGTTCAAAAAACTAGACTCGTACACGTGCGTTGCACGACCTAATTATTTTTAAATCCTAGTGGCAAACCACCAATTATGGTGGAATAAGGTCTAAGCAACCCTTACCAAGTTTTATTAAGATAGCATGGAATTACAAAGTGAGGGGAGGACCGAACTAAGGCCTAATGTCAATCCCTCATACAGAAGACAAACCTTCCGGAGAATACAATGAGTAAGGGAGAAGGGGAGCCTAGAACACGGCTTGACCAAAGCCACAATAAGGTCCTAGCTAGAAAAACAACTAGTCTAAGGCATGACGAGTGCCACAATAAGGCCCCAGATACAAAAAAAACTAGTCTAAGGCATGACCAGTGCCACAATAAGGTCAAAACAATACCAAATTGGTCAAAAGCATGACCAATGGCCAAATGACGTGCCATAACAAACACAAGGGAAGTGGTCACAACTCCAAAGAGAGAATAAAGCCAATTCAAGCTAGCCACTTCCCACTACACAAACCATACATACCAAGACTAGGAAAAGATATTATAAGCCCACCTATAATATCGAAGTTCTCCATAATCTCAGTAATACCTTTTCCTGGTTATTATATTTCTCGTTATTAAATGTAAATATATATATATATATTTAAAGAATATTTAATTCTTACAGTAGTTATATTCCATTTTATATTACAATAATTTCGAATACTTTAATTTCTTACCATCTTTAAATACTCTCTCCGTCCTCCTGTATTTGTCCACTTTCATTTTTACACACCATCCAATGCACTTCTTTAATTCATTTTATCTTGTAATTTGTATATTAAAAAATTATAAAAATTATATATTAATAATCTATATGTTAAGACAAATCAAACAAGATCACACATGACTATATTTAGGCTTACACATTGAGAGAATTTGATGAGTCAAAGTGCTTAGATGAACAGTTCCAAAAGTCAAATGTTGACAAATACAGGAGGACGGAGGGAACAAAACAACAACAACAACAACCCAGTTAAATCCCACAAGAATAGGGTCTGGGGAGGGTGTGTGTACGCAGACCTTACCCCTACTCGAAAGTAGAGAGGCTGTTTCCAAAGAGACCCCCGGCTCAACGTCGAAAGTTGCATTGTATGACTAACTGCTACTTTATTAATTAAAGAAGCGCAGACAGTTTAGAGATCCATTTTGATTTATTTCATCACACCCCAAAGCCAAAAATGGTGATATTTTGGCTCCATCGGAGATGATGGAATTCAAGGGGGACGGAGGGAGTACTTAACAATTACTATTACTATATTTAAAAGATTTAAATTATTATATTTAAAATTACTATAATTAAAATGATACGGTAGTTAATACAGAGTATACAATTATGTAGTCACACGGTTATATAATTAATACCTTAATTAATTATTACCTTTTTTTGATTAAAATTACTATAATTAAAATATAGTAAAATATAGCCATTATAAAATATAGCCCCTATAATTAAAATATAGCCATTATAAAATTACTATTATAAAATTACTGTAATCAAAATTACTATAATTAATTTGACACGGTAATTAATATACAATTATGTAGTCACACGTAATATTAGATTTCAGTAATAGCGTAATAAACAATTTTAATTAAAATTACAATAATTAAAATTACTATAATTAATTTGACACATTAATTAACATTTAATTACTACAATTAATTTGACACGGTAATTACACGTATTATTATAATGAATTTGACACGGTAATCACACGTAACATACAATTTTAATTAAAATTACTATAATTAAAATCACACGTAAGATTCCAATTTTAATAAAAACTTATGCTTTCCAATTTTATAACTTACCTTTCTTGCTAGTATTATATTGGACACTTTAAAATGACAGTTAATTATTATTAAAAAAATAATTATATTACCTTCACAATTGCCATTTTATATTACTATAATTTCAAAGATTTACCATTTTAACTTCACAATTGCCATATGTAATGGACATACTTCGTGCACGGGTTAAAAATGGACACTATAATTTCGGACACTTAACATTTATATAGGTAATAATTGCACAGAGTAATAATTATTACATTTGTTGGTTATTGCCTTACTTGCTATTGAATATAAATATAAATATAAATATATATATTTAAAGGGTTTTACCGTATTAATTTTTTCGAAACTATGTGTATAATTATTCTTACCATAATTATACTATACTATAATCATACACACATCTTTTATATAACCTAGTCACACAGTAATCATATAATTTTATAATTATGGTAAGAATGATCATAACACGTTTTTAATAGCATTGATTGACGTGTATCAAAGTTTATAAATATTTTTTATAAATAACTTTTGCCTATTAATAATAATCAGTCTTATTAAATATAATACTTTTAAATTTTTATCATTAAAATAGAAAAATTAACACTGAAATTACCAATTTTAAAGTAAGGAAATAAAAATATGGAAATTACCTTTTTTTTATTTAATTCGTAATTACGTCTGTCTACATTATTACCATTTTTAATAATAATGAGTCTTATTAAATATAATACTTTTAAATTTTTATCATTAAATGAGAAAAATTTTAAAAATTGTTATTTCCGGATTTTTATTTCCCTACTTTAAAAATGGTAATTTTAAATAATAATGACAGTTAATTATTATAAATATAATATAATAATTATACTTATAAAACGTAAATTTTATATTACTATAATTTCGGGCACTTACCATTTTAACTTCACATTACCATATGTAATGATCATAGTCTTTGGGCGGGAAAATGCAATATTGACTCCATGTCTTTGTAAATAAAGTATGGATGTCCATCATTATTAGACATTATTCCTCCTACTAGAGATTATTAAGTCTTATTTAGGGAATAAAAAAGTTTTAAGTCCTATATTGAGAAATGACTTATGTTTTAAACCTATTTAGTGTTTCACTTTTCAAAAATGATCGTTTCTAATTAAAAAATTTCAACATTTAATCAACTCCACAAAATAATACTCGTTGCAGTGTTTTGTTAATTGAACATTGATGGAATTTAATCCTTGAGGATATTCAAGAATGAATAAATCAAACATATGAATGAAAATAAATAAAATAAGGTGAACACAATGATGTTTATATAAAAATAAAATTATAAAAATTACATGGCTTTTTTAGTTGTACCATGCCAAGAGAGTGTGTTATTCATATATTTGGGAGTGTTCATGTACAATATAAGCTCGACGACTATTGATTGAGCTTGAAACTCTATAAAGTTGGAACCGTGGAATATGAGTATAGTCTGTAGACAGAAGAGTCTGATCACATCTGAATCCCTTTCTCTTTCGAAGTAACACCCTTTTTATAACCAACCGAGTAGGAACTCCTATTGTTAAGCTTCACACAAGCTCGCCTCATGGCCCTCTTATATAAAAAGAGCCAAGAATCTATGAAATTAGAAGAATAATATAATATCAATCATTAAATTAAATATAAAATTACGTACATTAAAGGTCTTTTTTTAAATAAAATTTATTTAATACACATTCGGACTTGACACACAATACTTTAATTTTTTAAATAAAATTTATTTAAGCTTCACGCATTTTCTTATTCGGCATCTTATACACATTCCGACTTGACATACAATACTTTACGAACCCTTCAACATTATCTTTCCATAATTCACTAACAACACATTCTCTCGTACTTGTTATACATCAAGTCACGATCTTCGAATGGAAGACTCATATTAACAATGCCTATCAATTGAAAGTCATCAAGCAAGAAACTTTAACCATACTAAATAAACATGAGATAGCCCATCAACTAAGTAAACATAAAAAAATCCTTGGTAATAATTGAAAGACAATAACCAACAATCTCTAATCATGAATATCAACCACAATATTTTACAAAAAAATAATATCAAAAATAAAGTCCAACAAATAACAATGTCTAACCACAAACAATAATCATGTAAATCTAAATACCATAGTAATTTCACACAATTTCAACTCTAATTCCCCTAAAAAGCTCTTAATTTCACAACAAAAAATTATTTTTACCTAATTTCATGCCAATTTCAACCATTATAAAAGCAAATTCATATAATGGTATGTTAGGGAACATGGATTTGGATTTCAAATCCGGATTTAGCTCAAATTCCATGTTTGGGAAACTTAAAACTTTTGAATTTGGATTTGAGTCAAATTCTTCACATTCATAACAAAGCTTAATTTGAAATCCATGCACCTCCCCTTGTCATTTGAAATTCAAGATTCCAAATTTTGGAATTGAAATGCATGAATTGAAATGAAATGCTAGTTGCCAAACACTACCTAATTTTAATTCAATTTAACCTAAAATCTTATCAATTTCACAAAAATATCAATTTCATCCAAAAAAAATGGTAAACAAATTAAAAAACCTTGGTGGAGGAGGAGGAAGAGGACGGCGGCTGGTGGGGGGAGGAAGAGAAGGCCGGCGAGTAGAGGCTGACGGAGGACGGCGGCTGACGAACGACGGTGCTGGCGGACAAGGGCTGGAGGACGAAAACGCAGGCGGACGACGGCGGAGAAGCGCTGGAGGAGGAGGCCGACCTTGGGAGAAGGAGGCCGGAGCGGATAACCGGCGGTGAAGGAGGCGGAGATGCGGCGGCGTGAGCTTCGGCGATGAAGGGCGACGTGGGTTCCGGCGTAAGCAAGGGTTTGTGTTGTGTGGTTATCCCTAGAGGTGGCAATCGGATCAACCGGATCGGTTCCGGATTGAACTTTTTCGGTTTGGATATCTTTCGGTTATATGTTATAATCGGTTCAGTTCGGTTCGGATCGGTTAAATTTCGGTTCGGATTTGATTTCGGTACTATACAGTTTTCGGTTCGGTTCGGTTTCGAGTCGGTTCAGATACGGTTCAGTTATAAATCGGTTCGGATAGATTTTGATTCGGATACAATTTGAGTCGGATATATTTCGGTTTCGGGTCTAGTCCGGTTCGGATATATTTCGGTTTCGGATATATTCGATCGAGTGGACTACAAATTATGAAAAAATATATTTTATGATGATATAAATTTAATATCATAATATTAATTTTAAAATTTAGTTTTGATATATTAAAATTTTATCACTTCAAATAATATTATGAGTAATTTACCTAAATAGGGCTAAAACACAATGGCTTTCCAAATATAGGACCATATGTTTTTATTTCCCAATGTAGGACTTTTAGTCATTATTAATTAGTCATTATTTAAGTAAATGTCCATTATTAATTTATTATTGGCCATTATTCCTCCCACTAAGACATTATAAAGTTCTCTGTAAGGAATAAAAAAGTTTAAGTGTTAGATTAAGAAAGTAATTATGTTTTAGTATTATTTAGTGCAAATTTATTAATATCTTTAGTTTTATCTTTATAAATGAGTCGAAGCAACTAGTTTTTATCTCGTGCTTTGCACTGACTCGCATACTTTTTTTATAAGTATAGCTATTTAAAAATGGTACTCCGTATTATATTAAAAATTTTAAAAGCATAAATGGTACTCCGTATTATAGTAAAATTTTAAAAGCATAATATGCTTATTGAAAGAAAAACATACTTCCAAAATTATCTATGTAGGTTCTAATCGGTTTCGGATATAATCGGTTTCGGGTTTTATCGGTTTCGGGTATTATCGGTTTCGGATCTAATCGGTTTCGGGTTTAATCGGTTCGGATATTTCGGTTTCGGATCTAATCGGTTTCAGATTTAAATCGGATATGAATTATTTAGTTCGGTTTCGGTTCGATTCGGATCATTTCGGGTTTTCGGTTATAGATCGGATCTTCATTTTTCGGGTCATTTCGGTTTCGGTTTCGGATATTTCGGTTCGGGTAATCGGTTCCGGTTCTGTTTTGCCAGCTCTAGTTATCCCGTAAATGGAGAAGGATAAGACTTTTTTAACTGAAGCCTGCGATGGAACGCTCTCCGTCGCTGCTTACCGTCGCAAATCTGCAACCGAGAAAAAGATTTCGTCGCTGATTTTGTTGGCGGCCGAAACTTTTAGTTTAGCGCCAAAAATCTGCGACGGTTTGCTTCTTTCCGTCGCTAATCTGCGACGGAATTTGGTTTCCGTCGCATATATTTTCTACGTTACCAAATTGACCTGCACCCGTCGCAGATTTCTCGCAGATCTGCAACAACAATTATTCCGTAGCAGATTTTCGTTGCAGTTTTGGCAATTTCTTGTAGTGTACATTAAAGGTCTTTTTTTAAATAAAATTTATTTTATATTTAGATATCAGTAAAAAAGAAATTTTAAATACAAATAAAATATTTTATTTTTTAATGATATTTTTATTATATAAATAGTTTTTGTTACTCTTTTATAAAATATTTTAAGTTATTATTTTTCATTAAATGATAAACTTGTTTTTGGATATGTAGGATTCATTCTCAGTAATTTTTTACATTTTTTACTCATTGAAACATTGTATTTTTAATTGAAGAAGAGTATTTTATATCTTCTTGTTTTGGATGGAGGAATTAGTTATTATATATTGAGTACTAATCCAGTGGAAGTCTTGCAAGAATATTTTTGTTTTGGAATTACTGTAAAAATTATATGTATGGTGGAAATTTGTTGAGTTGAGCTATGCGTCCCCCAAAGAAAGCTTAGTTTTTATATGAGGCTTGATCGAGACTAACTATCTAGCAACCTGGTCTTGCATAGGCCGTCTTTGGAAAACAGCATTTGGGATAGCTTTTGGCATCTTTGACTGACTTTGGCTTTTTTGACCAAGTGAACCGCCAAAACCATTGTTTGGCTAATGGCTTTTTCACTTGGCATTTTGATCCGAAAAGTCAAAATCTGAAATGCCAAGGTGAGTAGCATTTGGACTTGGCGGTTAGGAAAAATATTTTTTTTAAAATCATTTTTGTTGAAAGATATTTTATAATATATGTAAAAAATAAAAATAAAAGTTAAAAAAATTAAATACGAAAAAATAAAATGAAATTAAAAAAAATTATATTTATAATTCATTAAAAAAATTATATTTATAATTTATTATGAATTAAATGAAATTAAAATTTAATATTCCATATAGTAAAGATTTAATTTTTACATGTAAAAAAATGAAAAATAAATATCATGTCTATATATATATATATATATATAATTTTTTATTTAATTTTTTTAATTTAAAAAAAATATATTTATGATATGATATTTAAAAAAATTGTAAAATAAAATATACCATAAATGGAGGGATGTCCTTTTATGTAATTTTATTTACAAACAGCTAACTATAAACAGCTAAAGTTGCCAAACACTTAAAATTTAACTGCTAACAGAAACAGCCGGTCAAAACAGCTAACTCAATCAGCCATTCAAATCAGCTAACATAAANTATATATATATATATATATATAATTTTTTATTTAATTTTTTTAATTTAAAAAAAATATATTTATGATATGATATTTAAAAAAATTGTAAAATAAAATATACCATAAATGGAGGGATGTCCTTTTATGTAATTTTATTTACAAACAGCTAACTATAAACAGCTAAAGTTGCCAAACACTTAAAATTTAACTGCTAACAGAAACAGCCGGTCAAAACAGCTAACTCAATCAGCCATTCAAATCAGCTAACATAAAGAGCCAACAGCCAACTGCCAACTGCTAGTATCCAAACAAGGCCATAGCTTGAAGCCCACATAGAATATGAGATTATAATAATTTTTAGTTTTATGTGTGAAAATTCCTAAACAAAAAAACAACTAATCCTTCAAGAGATATAATAACTTTATATCATTGTGTTAAATTATGCATGGAGAATATTTTAATATAAGTTGTATATAGTTTTTGGATAATATGGTTTATTATGCTCTTCTCGCCTCATAAAAAACTTTAGTCTCTTCATTTATGTCTGTTAAACAAAAATCACTTTCTTTTTAAAGAAAGGAATGTATGGCTCAAGATTCGTATCTCTTCTCAAAATAAATTCTAGCCAAAGTTGAAACTTTTATTGAACTCTATGAATATAGAACATGGATTTTTTTACGAGATGAAGAACATACTTTTTTAGTTTTTATAGTATACACATATAACTATGACCCTGTTCGTCCCAAAATAAGGCTTCTGTTTGGTTTACGATATTTTGACGAAGTTATTTTCAAATTAATATATTAAAAACTGCATCAAAAGTTAAACTACAAAATAAGCAGTGATAATGTTATTTTATTTAATTAAATGATTAATGAAAATGTATAAAGGAAATGGAGTTAACTAGTGGTAAATAAACTCTCTAAGCTAAGCTAGCTAACTAGTTTTCCTTGTAAGCTTCTTCAGACCTAAAGCTGAGTTGAACTTCAGAAGCAAGCTCTTCCACGCTAACGTGGCATTCCAGTCCAATCTGCAACACATTATGCATAATAGAAGTTGAATTTTATTTTGAAATAAATAAGAAATGTGCAACATTTATTTTGGATGTAACATTTTTTTAGGTTGAAAGATTTAATTATTTTATGTGTAGTCTACTCACATCGTACTTCTATAATATGTGTATCATACATAGTCCCAAAAAATGTTATATCCAAAACGATTGTCATGTTGAGCATTAGTATAGCGCTACAATTCCTAGAAAATGTGATGACCCATCAATGGATTTCATGTAGAAGAGTGAAATACTAGGAAATATGAAGGGGTTTATAAGAATGGGAGTACTATAAATACCTTAACAACAAAGGTATAAAGCACTGTATCTTCCATGCTGCTAATGTTCAAATGGAGAATCTCTAAGAAAAGTCTATCCAAGACATTCATAATCCTCACAATTTGCCCTCGGATTCGGCGAGAAATTGTTTTCAGTATGACGTTAGTACCAAATATCATAGCCTCAACATTAGCAACGGGAGAGTTGCAACAAGCTTCGACTTCCTTGAAACTATTGTAAGCATTCAAACATGGAGTTTCTGGGATACTATTTGGGTGCAATGGTGCCTTAGCAGGACTTGTATTTAATCTCTTCATTCTTTTCTTGGCCTCCAATGATTGTTGAATTTGGTGCAACTCCTTGATGAACTCAACTACTCCCCCAATTATTGAAGCTTGATCTCCCTACACAAAATCATTCATTAATACTAAATCCTGGAAAATTGTTTGACCCGAGACCTGACTTGAAAGTGTTGGCATTTAAACAAAAGTTTTGTTAACCAAACTCGAAGATGATCAAACCTGAAATGACCTGAAAAAATTACTCGAATCTGACCAAATTCAAACTCGACTTAACTGACATGCAAGGTGTGAGTTGTGCAGAGTGGTATAATTTAAAATATAATGTTACTCTATATAATACTCGTATTATATACTTTTTGTACTCTTAAATGAATAAATTTATATTTTCAAATGATTTTTTAATAATATTGCATTGTTAGAGTTACCCATTAAAAACGAGCTTTCAATATTTCATACAATTAAATGTTTCATTTATTACTCTAAGGAGCTTTCAATGTAAAATAGTTTGTCCTAGTATATTAATTTATTTTGATTTTTTTGAGTCGAACTCGATGAAATTTAATACGGAGTATATGTTAGTATAAAAATAATTTTATTCGATTTATCTTGTTGAATACTTTTAAAGTATTATTTTATTGTGGTAATATGCAATACAAATTGGGAGTAATTGAAGCTCAAATTTTGTCCTATTTGACTAAAAAAGTCAAACCAAACAAATCTACTCAAACAAAGGTAGTATTATGTTTTTTCTTAAGAGCATCTTTAATAGGTTGCTTAGAGCATATTTAATAGAAGGTGCTTAATAAGTTCCTTTCATTAAAAAGAGCGAATGTTCAAAATAATCCTGTCTAATAACGCGTTTTCCCAAATTAGTCCTCAATAGTTAATAATTACATGCATAATCTTTTATAATTTAGATTTATTTTCTAAGTGGTCCCCTACCTAAAATTTCTATTAAATGTCAGTCAAATATAAGATATTTTAGTATTTTCTATCATCTAGACTTAAAATATGTTTACGGAATGCTCTTTTGTAGTTAAGTATTTTCCAAACTTATAATTTCTAAGTAAACTAGTATCACACCCGCGCGTTGCACGGGTCATATTTACGTTACTAAATTAAATTTTTTCTTCAACGGCCATATTTAAAAGTGCACTTGAAAGAAATTAATTACGAAAATCCTTGCAAATGATCGCATTTATACTATGAAACATTTTTGGCTTATTCTATTTTCCTTTTTCAAAATTTTTATTTTTAAAATTACAATGTAATATTTTTTGCCAAATTACACGGTTGGTGTTACTTACCATTTCAACATTCCTTTTTTAACTTAAATTTTTAATTATGAACGTGTATTAATGATTCTTTCTTACCAAACCATATATAATAAAAAACTATATTTGAAATACCTAAAAAGTATAAACAGAAATACAACTGTAATTTTAATTTGGATACTTTAAGATGTGAGAATATTTTTTTGTTCAAGGCAACGTTTTTTTAAAGATAGTAATTTTTTATACATGGTACTCGCAAAAAAGATACATACCTTTTTTAATAATATTATTACATTGATTATAATGAAGTTACCTTATTTAAAATACGTATAAAGTAAAAAAAAGGAAAGATAATTATTTTTCCTTTTTTTTACTTGAACAAAAAATAACGAAAAAGTATAAATCACTTTATTTATAACACAACATTAAAAATTTTACTTTATTTAAAATAACGAAAAAGTATAAATCACTTTATTTATAACACAACATTAAAAATTTTAAGGTATGGAATTACCCTATTAATGAAAAAATATTACATGGGTAATTTAATTACCATAATTACATTTTACTCGGCATTTGAATTTATTATACATGGTACATTATAATTCATAAATATTTATTACTTTATACATGCCACTGTTGCATGTAACACTTACCTATGTATGTAAAGCGCTTCCCTTTTGTGATTGAAGACCATTTAGGTGAAAAAAAGCAAAGGGGAATTCCCTTCTTTTTAAATATATCATACTCCCTTCGTCCTAAAATTTTCTTTCCACTTCCCATTTCTCTCCGTCCTAAAACTACCTTCCCATTAAAAAAAGATGACAAATGACATTAATACCCTCATGTATTTACACCAATTATCTTCTTACTCTATATTTTGATTGATTGCAAAAACAATTTGCAAAAAATATTTTTTAAGGAGGGTAAAATTTGAAGTCAAAGCCAAAAATTAAAAATGGAAAAAAGTCAAACTGAGAAGAAAGTTTTAGGACGGATGGAGTAGATCATAGATAGATGTGCCACATTCTAAAACTATTTTTCTTGGTGCTATTTGCACAGTCAAACTTAATTTATTTTTTTTATTACTTTAATTAGTTACTCCATATTTGATAAAAAAAATAATTATATTACCTATAATTTAGTAGCATCATATTTTTTTTATTTTTACCCTTATAATTAAATAAGTTTAGTTTAAAATAAATTCGATCAAATAAGTTTAATTTCAAATATTCTATTACCTATAATTTTGTAGCATTAGTTTTGTCGAATGTCAACCACACACCCATGATTATTTACTAATATTTGTATTAAAGAGCGTAAATAATATAATATAATGTTGATAAGGGGATATGTTATTCTCAACACGACATTTGTTACTATTTATACAAAAAAACTAAAAAGGAAACAATTATTTTTTAAATAAATATCATCGCATTTAACTGTGTAGTTAGGTTCACGGAAATTTAGTTTACAAAATTAGAGGACATATTACTTTATAGGTATAACTAATTAATTCCTTTTAGTTTACAATATTTTGAAAATTTATTATATAATAATAATAATAATAATATTTTTATTATTATAAAATTGTTTGCTTAGGTTAGCAATTATTATTATTGTTATTTTTTTTTATAGAAACCAAGAATGACACTACAACACTTACCATTGATTAAATTAAAATGGAAACATATTAATTAGTAATTAATAGAAATTAAACCAAAAATGGCAAGTAATACTTACCATGTAAGGAGTCACACGAAACATAGCATTCAATAGTATCCGTATATGCTTCACATGTATTGAGGCAAGATAATTAAAGTACTAAACAGTTTCCATATATTAGCATCCCGTATGGACGGGAAAAAATTCCCCTCGCTTTAAGTAGAGTATAGATAGATTTTTTCTCTAAATGGAGTCTACAAGCCTACTAGCCACTAGGGGTAGGTCCATTCATTTAGCAGCCAACCACTTAACAAATAATACTTTTACATATCACATCAAAGAATATTTTTGAAAACTCAACATCAAAATATACATACACTTCTCTTAAATCTCTTAAAAAGCAAAATCTCCCATATTTTTAGGAACGGAGGGAATATATAACAAAAGATTTGTTTTATATATATATATATATATATATATATATATATATATATATATATATATATATATATATATATATTTCATGTTGGAAGTTTTCAGAAAATTAGTGGCACAAAAATTTGGAGACAAATACTACGTAAATAAGAAGGTGGCCAGAGGGGAAAAGAGAGAGAACGTGCATGGGCGGGTTATGTAGCATTATACTGCGTATTAATTAGTTGAAAAATGTTAGGGATATATTCCCTCCGTCCCTAAATATTCACAACATTTGCTTTTTTAGTAATGTCGGGAACTTTTGTTTATTTCGACATTTTCATTAATTATTTGATAAAATAAAATATTCTTGACACCTCTTATTTTGAAGAACTTTTCATGTAGTTTTTTTATATGTAAATTTTATTTTTTATTTCTTTACCAATATGTAAATAAAATGAATTAAAAAAACTTGATATTTTGCCTCGGGAATACAAATGTGACAAATAATTTGGGACGGAGGGAGTACTAAAGTTGTACTCCATTTGTCCTCCACCCCCTCCATTACCACAAAAATGGGCAAGAAACTAAAAAAAATTAAATAAAAAAAAAATGGGGTAAAAATGAATGGTGGAAATAAGGGTGGGGGACAAATGGGATACACCTTTGGTGTACCCCTAGCATTGCTCTAATTAGTTATAGGTACGTACCCGTTTGATATAGAAAGAAGGGGTTAAGGAGCGCAGAATCTTGAGATGTTCATTCATCTGACGTCTTCTCTTTCGCTCTACTGCAATATGTTGTGACATTCCTTTGATTATTAATTCCTTCGTTTTATTTTCTTTGTCGATAGATAGATCGATCGATCTGGCTGCTGCACGAAATTAACCAGTCCCCATTTCGGATCCTAAATGATTCTATTTATAGAAAGGGTGTGTGTTATTTACTCCGTATGTTATACTGTATTTAATATACCGCTTGGTTACACCCATTGGCCATTGTCAAATGAAAAACTATCTCCGTCCCAGAGTATTTATCTACTTTCATTTTTACACACCATCTAACACACTTCTTTAATCTATTTTATCTTGTAATTTGTATATTAAAAAGTTATAGAAATTATATATTAATAATCTATATGTTAAGACAAATCAAACAAGATCGTACATGACTATATTTAGGCTTACACATTGTGAGAATTTGATGAGTCAAAGTGCTTAGATGAACAGTTCCAAAAGTCAAAACTGGACAAAAACTAGGGGACGGAGGGAGTAAAAATATGCAATAGAAATCATCCTAAATAGGACTAAAACATAGATAAAAGTACCAAAATAAGACTTTCATGTTTTTTTCCCCGAAATAGGATTTTGCACTGTGGTAATGTGACGTTGTGTTACGGTTCCATCACAAGATCATGAATCTACTTCTGGGTCGCCCGTCGAAAGTTTACGTCGGAGTACGCGTCCACGACGGGCGCCGGCTTGGCAAAAAGAGTTTCAGTTACACTAGTTTATTTTATTACTCCCTCCGTCTCCCTAAGATGTTCTCATTTTGACTTTTGGTGGTTTTTAAGGATAGTTGAAAAAAGGTGAAAGTTTACCATAATACCCTTAATTAAATTGGGTGGAGTGTTGAAAAAAATGTTGTGCATTTAACAAAAATTAGTTTTACACCAACACAAAGTGTCGGTGCAAAACTGCGGGGTACAAATTGGGGTACAAAACTTGGGGTACACATAGGATATTTTATTATGAATTTATTAGTTACCCCGGAGTATTTTTTACTATTTTTTTAAGGAGAGTTGAAAAAAGGTGAAAGTTTACCATAAATCCCTCTTCCAAAACCCCTTTCCTCCTTCTCTTCTTTTTTCCCTTGGAGTTAGAAACCACTCAAAGGGCTTCCCAACTTGGTACTATCGTATCACGTTGCCCTGTGGTAATGTGGCAGTGTACATGTGCAAATTACTATACGTTTTTGGTAATGTATATGACCAAGTATGGTAATGTAAGTCCTATTTCGGGAATAAAAACATGGAAGTACTATTTTGGTATATCTTCAATGTTTTAGTCTTACTTTGGTCTTTCTCCCTATGCAAACAAGCCTAAGTACATATATATATTGAGGGATCGCAATAATAAAAGGAAAGAAAAAAATTATTTACTCTAAATAGCACTAAAACTTAAGTCATTTCCCTAAAACGTACTTAAACTGTTTTTTCCTAAATAACACTTAATAATGTCCACAAGGAGGATTAATGTCTAGTGATGACGAAAATTTACTTGAATAATGACTAAAAGTGCTAGATTGGAAAAAAACCACATATGATGTTATTTAGATAGAGTCATTATGTTTTAGTGCTATTTAAATAAATTCTCTAAAGAAAAAAGATGGACCGAGAGAGTAGTGAAAAAGAGAAAATACTATTGTGGACCTAAGATTCACACCATTTTAATTAGACTTTCATACAAGTGTGGTAAAAAAATACTTATTACAATGATAAACATTGTTTGCAAAATAATATGCAAAAAAAGCTTATTAGAGTATGGTAGTAAGAATTTGCTTGCCATACTCGTATAAAAGTTCACCTAAAATGGTATGGATCTTAAGTCTACCAAAGAATCACTCATAAAAAAGCCATGTATCATATTTTGACCAAAATTGAGTAAAAACAAAAGTCATATTTTAACTAAAAAATCAAACCGTACTCTTTTTTGACACGAATGGAGTAGTTATTTAAAGTTTTAACACTAAAGTGTTATTGATGGTAGAATAGGATATTTTATTATGAATTTATTAGTTACCCCGGAGTATTTTTTAGTATTATTATTATTTATTGTAATTTGGGTTTTATTAGTGAGCGACATTATAAGGTTCCTTAGGGTGTCATTACGCTTCTTTTTCTCGTCGCTTTTATTGAACAGTCAAGTTAGGTTTAGGGCTAGCTAGGGTTTCTTCAATTCGATTCTTATATATTGAGATGTAACTCTTAGGAATATCAATCAGAAAAAAAATATTACAAAGTGAAATTTGCACTGAATAGGACTAAAACATAAGTCATTTCCCAATGTAGGACTAAAACTTTTTTATTTCCTAAATAGAACTTAATAATGACTAGTGAGAAGAATAATGTTCAAGTAATGCTGGATATTTAGTTGAATAATGACTAATATCTTCTCTTCTCTCGGTTTGCCGATTCCGCCATTGTACGTCTCAATCTTTCTTCTGCTCTCCTCTCAATTTTTCGGACCCGAAGATGCTCAAAGTGTTCCCTATCCAATACAAGTTCGCAGGGCTGGTCCTGAAATATGAAAAAATAAAATTGGCTCGGTTTAAAATTTACATTTTGGGGCCTATTTTAATTTTTTAGGATACTTATTCTCTAAAATTATTGCTGAATTTAAAATTTAAGGCACTAAAATTTTAAGGGTCTTGTGCGGTTGGTCACTTTGCACACCCTTCGTGTCACTCATGCAAATTTGTATCTCAAAGCTGGACCACGGGGTTCATCGTCAGAAATCTGGTTTAGTTTAGATCTTTTAAGGAAATTTGGGATGACGAATGATATGAAGTATAGAAAACTTGATAATATACGTGTAATCATGTATTAACATGTCAAATAAAAATTATTTTGAAGTATACTAGCTATACCTAAATATTTCTATGGGACAAAACTTAAACTTAATTCATGAAATTAATTATCCTCGTATGTGTTGTTTCGTTTTTAGATACTGCACTAATTTTGACATGAGAAAATGGATGGAGGAGTAATTCTTTAGGTATTGGTATATTAATTACTACCTCCGTCCCAAAAAGATTTACACATTTTGACTAAAGTTGAAATTAAGGGATGGATAATTTTATGTTGACTTTCCAAAAATACCCTTGATGTGATGGGTAAAAGTAGGATGTGATGTTTGGATTATTAGGAAAAAGGTATGATGTGATAGGTAGGGTTTGAAAAAGTAAGGGGTAAAAGTGGTTTTTTAATAGAAACGAGTAGGAGATTGTGGGACACAATTTTTTTGAAAGGTGTAAATCTTTTTGGGACGGAGGGAGTAGTATATATATAGACTACCTCCATCCAATATATTTGTGTATTTTTGGCTTTTTAGAGTTAAAATTGATAAATTTTTTATCAATAATCAAATAAAATTTATATTAGATACAGATACAAGAATAATTTTATTAGATTTGTCTGGTAAAATAGTTTAAAATATAATTTTGCCTAATTAATATACCATGTAATATTTATTTAACTATATATCAAAAGTTTATCCTGATTGAATATAAAAATCAAAAGTGCATAAATATTCATAGACGAAAAGAGTAATTTACTCTTTACGTACATTAATATCTTTCTCACTTTTCTTTTTGGGTTGTCTAAATTTTTTTTTCCCGTTTCCTATTTTGGCAAAAAGCGTTTAGTGAATGTGTCATTATATTTCTACTTTTTTTCTATACTATTCACTTTATTTCATCATATCAAGAGCAAAACATGTACTCCCTCCGTCCTTGAGTGTTTGTCCACTTTCATTTTTGCACACCATCCAATGCACTTCTTTAATCCATTTTATCTTGTAATTTGTATATTAAAAAATTATAAAAATTATATATTAATAATCTATTTGTTAAGACGAATAAAACAAGATCACACATGACTATTTTTAGGCTTACACATTGAGAGAATTTGATGAGTCAAAGTGCTTAGATGAACAGTTCCAAAAGTTAAAAGTGGACAAACACTCAGGGACGGACCAAGTAAAATTTTTACATTTTTTAATTTTTCTTAATCTCCGTGTCAAGTCAAATTGAGAAAGAGATTTTTGGAGGGAGAATAGTATATAAGCATGCATGTCTAGTCCCTATCAATGCAATAGGGTAAGTCACGACACCTACCAACCACGTACACGCAATATGCATGGAGTTGAAGACTCCATTGTCAATTAATTGCACGAGGATGCCACCAAAGGAATTAAAAATCAAATAATGGTGCATATATGCATATACTCCCCTCACATTTTGCCTCTGATTCAGTGCCATATCTCCCCAGGCCACGTACTTCAGCATCAGCTCACGCAAATACGCATTAATAATAGGAAGAAATGGAAGCGCCTCTTGGGGGTGTAGTCACTGGTGTGTTGGATATCCAAGGAGCAGGCCGGTCTTGAGAAATGAAAAAATGAAATTAGTCTGGTTTGAAATTTACATTTTGTGTCCTATATTATCATTTTAGAATATTTATGCTTCAAAATTAATGAGGAGTTTAAAAATATAGAACCCTGAAATTTTAGGGGCCCTGTGCGGTTAGCCACATTGCACACCCTTTGGGCCACCCATGCCAAGAAGAGTCATAGCACTATATAGCAACATTACAAAGAATGGATATGAAGAAATTTGATAATCTAAACAAAGCGTGTGATCATTTTCAGATTAAAGTTATTTTGGGTTTACCAATAAACTACTTCAATTGGATAAGACATTAATATTTAGAACGAATGTAGAAGTTCCGTGGTTACTCAGGCACATGGCAGTTAGACACCGATGTTATGCGTTGTGAGGGAGTTTCTTGGGCTAAGCGGAGATTTGCTTCAAGAGTTTTAAGCAATAAGAATATATATTTCACCCAGGATGAAAGGTAAAATCCACCAATCTGTAGTCAGACCAGCAATGCTCTATGGGGCAGAGTGTTGAGGGGTTAAGAAGATTCACATGCGTCATCTGCATGCGGTAGAGATACTGATGTTGCGGTGGATGTGTGGGCAAACGAGGCTGGATAGAATTCCAGGGGAGGTTATTCGAGGTTGGTTAGGCATGATGCCATTGGATGATAAGCTTCGTGAAGCTAGGTTAAGATGGTTCAGTCATGTGAAACGG